GATTATCACAATATTCATAGCATCGCAGCTCTTGGCTGAATACCGTAGAGCATTGCGTAGCATTGCAAACTAATCGCTGCGCAAAGCACTCCATGATGGCATGGCATAGTGTGGTTCAACATAGCTTTGAAATGCATAGCGTTGCGATGCATATCATTGCATGTAATAGCATGACGTGGTCTTGTAACGCAGAAGATCAGACACATCATCGCAACATATGAAAGAAAAAACGTATATCAAAAAAGTAGGCCAACGCAAAGCAACACGAAACGGCTCCCTGCAATGCTGTGCTACGCATTCAAGGCACTACACAGGTCATGCAAGACGCGGAGCGAAGTGCAGCAAAGAAAATAGAGGCCAGGGAATACACGAGAACCCAGAAGAACCGCAGGGAACGTCCAGAAAAAACAGCCGAGGACCCGGCCAGGTCCAACAGAAACGCCACCCTGGCCCTCTTTCACAAGAGAAGGGTTACCACAGCAGCCCAGAAAGTACAGGGCAATCCAAAGATGCCAAGGTGCACTCAGGCAGTCTACCTGCAGCGACGCCTTGCCAGCATCTTCAGGACAGATGTTTCGGAGGGCGGACTCGAAAAAGGGGTGTAGACACGACGTGATCGATTTCCCAAAACCATCTCGCGAGTATGCAGCATGGCCAGGTTACGAGCTGGCAGAAGCACTGACTACGCTCCAAGCACCATTGGAAACGACTCCTTACGGTGAGAAAACAACACTGAATATGCACAGAAGGCACCTGTACACCACCATCATGCCTGGCCTGGGCCATCCCGGGCCCTGGCATCATGCATGCGCCCTTCTGGCCTCGGCCAGGAGGCAGGCGCTTTGCCAGGTGAGCGTGTGCACCATCCTGGGGCCCAGGAGGGCCCTGGCCAGGCATGGCTATGGTGTGTTGGGAGCCTTCTGCCGAGGCTGCACGAAGGACTGTTGCACGATGACGAGGAGGTCTGCGCGCAGGAGGCCTCACGAGGCGCCCGCCGCGGCGCTCTGCAGGGTGGGCAGGGTCGGCGCTGGCAGCTGCTTGATGATCTCTTCCAGCTCCTGTGGTGGTGTCGTGTCCCTGCATCCCTTCCTCTGCGCGGAAGGCATCCACGTACACGCCACCACTATGCCTGGCTGGGGCCGTCCTGGATCCCAGAATGGTCGTCAGACCATCCTGGCCTCGCATGGCCCTAGCCACCAGTGGGGGGGAAAGCAATCGAGCTTGACTCGGCGAGGCGCAGCTGCTGGAAAGCATCCCGGTGCTGGAAAACCGCCGAGAGCTGACGATGGCCACAACCACAGATCCTCCGCTGTGGCTCCTCTGCGCGGCGCGTTCTGTCGCCCGACCTCCCCGCGCCGCGGGCGGGGGCTCTCCCCGGCCGCTGGAAGCCGCCGGAGGCCCCCCAGAGGCCTCCCTCCCGTAAAGGACAACGCATGCGCGCCGCTGGGTGGCGGCGCGATTCGGAAGGGAGCCGCCCACTTCCCGTGTGGCTGTTGGGAATTTCAGCCCTTGAGGGCCATCCGCGTCCCTGGCAAGAGCTCGATATTGAGGGGCATGATCGACGGCAGTTCGATCGCCCCCAACGGTGGATGGGGAAGAGAACGGGGGCCACGGCCAAGACTGAACGCGGCAACGTCGTGTCGATCTTGGTCACCACCGATCTTGCTCAGCGTCGTTTCGTGCAGCATCCTCGCGAATGGGCGACGGCCGACATGGACCATGACCAAGATCGACATCGGCAAGATCCCGCGACATCTTGGCCATGGTCCCTGTGCTTCTTCCCGTGAGAGGAAGCCGCTCGAAATAATACAACTCAGGCCACCAACGCCGCTCGAGAAGACAACACCGCCGTTCTTGGGCTTCTGGTGTTATGCAGCTGCAGGCGCGGATGGTCGTGCCCCACTCGAGCCAACAAGACCCACACAAACGATCATGACGCAGAGGCCTTCCTCTGAACCTGCGCACACCGCCACCGCGCTTCCAACGCGACAAGGTGACCTGGAAGCACGCACTGCGCCTGGCAAAGCAGATCAGGGGCCTTTGAAAGGTGCCCTCGCGGCAGCGCCCACGACAACCCTGCAATGCAAAGGCAGTGCCACGTCACGCTGCAGCGCTGCAGCGCAGGCCTCATCAAGCGCGGTCAGGCAGATACGCGTACGCAGCAGCACAGCTGTAAAGAACTCTGGCACAAGCACGAATACCGGTACAGTCGGTGTCCGCTGTGAGAACGACGATGACGCTGCCTGGGCGGCCCAGCGCGCCGCGTGTTGGCAACGCGCGCAAGGGGGTGGCGCGAGGCGGGGGCTTCTAAGAAGGCAGGCTCCTAAGGACCCGTTTCAAAAGCCTCCTTGCCCTCCTGAGAAGGCGCCTGCCTTTTGGGAAGCCTCCTGCCCCTCCCCTCGAGCCACCCCCGTGTACGCGCCGCCAGGCGTGAGTCTCGTGGAGGCCGAAATTTGCTTCGAAAACTTTGGCCCTTCAGTAACTGATGCTTTTCAGGGTGCACGCTGGCCAGGTGCCAAGGAACGTACCCGCTCAGGACGAACTCAAGGCACCCACCAAGAGGCTTCCTGGAGGCCCCCCTGGAGTCGTCTGAGGCACGGTGGCGAGATGGGCCGAGGTCCACCAGGCAACGACGATGACTGTGACGGTCGTCTCTGCTTCCAGCATCGCTACGACAGACTGCCGCGCCGATCTGAAGGCATGAGCTGAATCCAATCGCAAAACCGGGTCGGATCGGAAACGGATCGCATCGCCAGCGAATCGTCCCGAGCCGAATCGAAGTCGGGTCGCCGCGCCCAGCTCCAGTCGGGATGTAATGACCCGGGTCAATACAAACCTGGGACGGTCGGGCTTTGCAGGACTCTCCAAGATCCTGCAGGACTCTGCGGGCTCCCGTGCCCTGACCCGAGTCAGTGCACCCCTGGCCCTGAAGGGTCCTGCGACACTTGGTGCGACGGCTGACCCCCGTTTGCACTGACCCCGGTCCCTTGAGCCCCGATCCAGCTGGGCAACGATCAAAGAGGGGTCTTACGCGAGATGACACAACGACCTTACGCGGTGGCTTTCGCGGGACGCCCGACCAGCGCGCCACATGGAGACGAGGGCGCTTACGCGCGACCTTACGCGGGCAGCTTACGCGCCAATGTCGGCGCAGACGACCCTGTTTTTTTGCCTCGCTCAGCTGGCCTTGGCCGATGCTGGCGAACCGAACGAACCGCGGCCGCAGCGGTGAATCGAATCGCATTCGGTCGAAGGCGGCCCAGCCTGGCCGCGGCGTCCCGGCGCAGCCGCCGGCTTGCCAGGGCGACCACTGGAGCGTCCAGAGGCACTCGGCGCTTGACTGTCGGGTGGGCGAGAGGGTCGGATAGCAAAGGGCAGGGTGGAGAATCAGCTCATGTAGCGGGTTTTCCTGGCGCCTCCTGGCGCCGGGAGGCGCCCATGAATAGAGGAATGAGCCAGTGGAATGAGTCAGGCGGCGGGGCGGAAACCATCTCATGCAGCAGAGTTCGTAACCCCAACCGTTCCCTATCCTACCCTTTCGTCCAGCCCGAGATTGGAACCTCTGAAGGCCACGGCGGCGTCTTTCGCTGTGGAGCGGGCCAGGCACAGCTGGGGGAGCTGCGTAGCGGGTCTGTGGAGACTTTGACTTGAACTCCGATTCACAGGTCTAGCCAGCATCGGTCCGCAGCTCGCTACATCTACATGCAGCACTAGCAAACCTTTCTCACTACTGCTTCTGCTAGTTATGCCGGCCCCTCGCTCTGTGGAGATAGAGTTAGGTAGAACAGGAGCGCCACACCAGCTGGCCTGCGACAGAGCCGCAACGGACTCGAGAAGTGGCCCGTGGACTCGTGCAGTGAACAATGAACCGTGGCCAGATCACAGCAGAAAAAGAAAACACATAGAAGGCCAAGAGGACGTCCTCCCCCTCCACCAGCAAACCAGCGAAAGGCGACATGTAAACTAGAACCATCGCGCGCGCTTCGCGCGAGCGCTCAAGTTCTAGCTAGGCTTGATAGGCTAACTCATGTCATCTCATTTTGGGCGCTTCTTGCGTCCAGGGACTCCCTTGGAGGCCCTGCGCAAGCCTCGAAATCGTATAGAAGGGGAAACGCGGAAACGCAGAGATCATTACTTCCCTTTAGGTATTCAACGATTTGGGGTCCTCGAATGCTTCCTGGGTTCTCTTTTGGGAGGTGAGGGGGGTCTGAATTGTGGTCTGTTGTGCAAGAGTAGACAGGGGGCCAAACTTAAAAAAACAGGAATTGTGGATTTCCATGCTTGTCCAGTTCCTCGGCGCTGTTCGGCGCTGTTTTTTGTTTGTGTCTCGCGGGTTTTGTTAGCCGGGCCCCTCAGGGGTGTGGGATCTTCCGGGCCCCCCGGGGGTTCTGGAGGCCTCCTGGAGGCCTGGAGAGCCGTCAGAAGGGTGTCGCGGGCTGCGCGGGAGCGTGTTGGGCCGCTCTTTACGTTCTGGGGGCTCCTTGGGGTCGTCATGGGCTGTCCTTCGGGGACTTGGGGTCTCCCCCCCCGGAAGCCGAGAAGCGCGGTACCGGCCAGATGTCAGGGGATGTGTAGGACCCCCGAGTAGGAGTCCCACTATGAAAAAAAGGGGGGATTCTGGGAATTCCTTTTTTTTCAAAATCCTCGGTCTTCGAGGGTTGGAAGCGGGAAAACGTGGGAAGGCGAAAAGTCCCATCAACGATTTTACCCTCTTTGGGCTCTCTCGGGATGGCTCTCGCAGCTCTCTTGGGCTGTTCTTGGAGTCTCGTCGGGGTCTTCCTGGGGTCTCTCAAGGATCGGGGGGGTGTTGGGGGCCTCTGGGTGGTCCCGGAGGCCTTTCGGAGGTCTCTGGAAGCCTCCTGCTCCCGCTCTTGGCCCTATCTTGGGCCTGTTCTGGAGTGGTCTGGGGCTGTCCTGGGCGCCTCTTCGGCAGTCCTGGAGCCTTCTTGGCCCAGCTTGGGGCCGTCCTGAGGGTCTGTTGGGTGGTCTTGGGGCGGTCTTTTTTTTGTTTCAAAACAATGGACTTCAGCGACGAACAGCGAGCTGAAGGCAATCATGGAAAATCCGCTGCCTCCGCTGACTGAGCGTGCAGCGCCGGTCGCCCACGAGAAAGGGCGGAAAACTACGCCAAATCTAACGGAGCAAGGATTGCGCCTCCCGCGCAACACTTGGCAACACTTGTGCCGACCCTGTTGAAACGAATACATTCAGCGATGAACAACGAGAGAACGGCAATCATGGAAACAAATTAAGGCGAGCGGTGCAAGGCTCATCTTGTTATAGACGCTGAATCGCGCGTGGAATCAGACCCAGGTAAAGCACAGAGGAGGCACCCTACGGAACTGAATTGGTATTCGCGCTGCTCTGTCAACAGAGCAAGTGGTCAATCGACCAATGCCACAGCACCAATCTGCTGCCGCTAGCACGACATGACACTGCAAAGCAATTGGAAGGAAGGGTGATGTGATCAAGGCGCGATGCTTTTCATCGTTCCAGCGGTCGGGGCCCTCCGAGGCGCCGCCTGTCTAGGCGGAGGACTGCGCGATGGCGTCCATGGCCGCCCGAGCCGTGGGCCTCGGCTCGAGGAGTGCGGACAGCTTGGCCAAAACGGGCTCGCTGCGCACGCCGCCCACGACCGCCAGTGCGCGAGCGTGGCTGCCCTCGCGGGAGAAGAAGTTCTTGATCCTTCTGGCGGTGGGCGTCAACTCCGCCTCCTCCGGCCAGCCGACCGCCTGCCTCATCGAGCCCAGGCCCCCGGCGGCCTCGAGGAGCACCACCCCGAGGCTCCAGCAGTCCGCAGGCTTGGCGAAGTACGACTCGTCCAGGGCCACCTCTGGGGCGATGCACGGCAGGTCTCCGCACAGCGTGGTCGACGGCGTCGACTCTGGTCGGAGCGCCGCCTGGTAGAAGTCCACCATGCGACAGAAAAGCGTTTCAGACTGGTCCTCCACGATGATGTGTTCCAGAGACACTTGTCTGTGCACGACGTCCCGTGAGTGACAGTAGGCCAGCGCTCCTGCTATCTGCATTGCGCAGTCCATGGCATCCTCCAAGTCGAGGCGGTACCCTGGCTGGTTCATGAGGCGCTCGTGCAGATTCTGCATGCCCCCAAACTCGAGGGTCAAGTACACCCGGGAGAAACTATGGCACATGTTACAGCAACGGACGATGTGCGGGTGCCTCAGCATGTCCCTCAAGAAACACAGTTCGCGATGGATGCATTCAAGGTCTGCAGCAGATACGCGGTCCGATTTGTCGTAGACCTTGAGGACAACTCGCTCAGACTCGCTCCGCTTGGCAAGCAATACGGTGCCGCTCCTTGTGTTAAAACGATTGGTCAGCTCGTAATCGCCCACCCTGTTGGCCGTCTCCACGAGGTTGCGATCGATTGGGTCGAAATCGGGCATCAGAGCTTTCGGGACGGCCTCCCAGAGCAGCTTGTGGTGATAGTCCAACATGCGCTGGAAATTGTCGTCGTCAAAAACGATCATCGAATGTGCACGCCTCTCAGTCGCTTCGAACCAAGACCGCTCGATGTCGAGTTTTTGGCGCAGCTCATCTGGGTTGTCACCAGGATCCAGCAACACCCCGTCAGCACCGACGGCCAGAAGCGCGTCGTGGCGCGCCATGACCGTCTGCACGTATTCCCGGCTCAGTTCACGCGGGACCTCAAGCAACTGCAGCAAGAACACGCAGAGGTCACGGTGCGGCTCGAGCTGTTCCATTAATGTCTTCATCATTGACTTCTCGTACCGCGTTTCGAACGTGCATGGCACCAGCAAGCTAGTGCACTCAGACGCCAGGGACGCGATCCTCTCTGTGTCCCAGTGGCCCTCAGATCCTGAGTCTGGTGAAGCGAGCCTGCTAGGTCGCTGCGGCGATCTCCACGGCACCAGTGTGGCGAAGGCGAAGTGCGCGGGCAGCTGTGAGGTCATGTGGGTAACATATCTCTCTATCGTTGCTTGGCTGGACGCCGACGGCAGACGAACCTCCATGGTTCCCATGGCACAGAAACCAGAGGTGATGCGAAGATCCGTGCTGCCCCCAGCACAGGGCCACAAATCAAAACGGCTACCCTTGAGCCAAAATGGCTACGGATGGTCTTGGGGCGGTCTTGGGAGCCTCGTCGGAGCTCTTGGACCGTTGGAAGCTCGAAAACGCGAGAAGCCAAAAACATTGAAAAAAACAATGAAGATCTACGATTTTGGCCTCTTCGGGCCGTCCGAGGACGCCTCTCGGACCTCTCTTGGGGTCTCTTGGAGGTTACCTGGGAGCCTCGAGAGCCGTCGGAAGGCTGACTTGGGCTGTTTGGAAGGGTTTTGGACAATCCTTTCGCATTCTGGGGGCTCCTGGGAGGCGCCTCGGGCCCTCCTGGAGTGCTGTGGAGGCCTCCTGGAACGCCCGGGGGAGCAGTACCAGGAGCGTCCCCGAGATGTCACGGTGAGGTGTGGCACCTGGGGCCGGGGGGGGCTCTATTGGGGTGCCTCTTGGGGCGTCTTCGGAGCCTCTTTTGGTGTGTTTTCGGGTCTCTTGGGGGCCTCTTGGGGCTTCTTGGGCGCTTCTTGGAGCCTCTTGGGGTCTCCTGGGGGCCTCCTGGGCCAAAATGCTCGAATCTTCGGTTCCTCGTCCCCGTCTTGGGCGCCGACTCGGGGCGTTCTTGGGCGGATTGGGCGCCTCGTTGGCCGTCTTGGCCCCCTCGTGGGCCGTCTTGGAACCCTCTTGGGGGCATCCTCGACCGGCTCGGGAGCCTCTTGGGCCGTCTTGGACGCAGTGGAAGTCCAAAAGGCGACCACGCCAAAAATATAAGCGGTCCCATAGGAAATCCACGATTGTTGCTAATTGGGGCTCTATTGGAGTGCCACTTGGGGCGTGTTCGGGGACTCTTTTTGTGTTTTTGCAGGTCTCTTGGAGGCCTCTTGGGGCTTCTTGGGCGCTTCTTGGAGCCTCTTGGGGTCTCCTGGGGGTCTCTTGGGCCAAAACGCTCGAATCTTCGGTTCCTCGTCCCCGTCTTGGGCGCCGACTCGGGGCGTTCTTGGGCGGATTGGGCGCCTCGTTGGCCGTCTTGGCCCCCTCGTGGGCCGTCTTGGAGCCCCCTTGGGGGCATCCTCGACCGGCTTGGGTGCCGTTTGGGCCGTCTTGGACGCAGTGGAAGTCCAAAAGGCGAACACGCCAAAAATATAAGTTTTCCCACCGGAAGAAATCCACGATTGTTGCTCATTGGGGCTCTATTGGAGTGCCCCTTGGGGCGTGTTCGGGGACTCTGTTTGTGTTTTTGCTGGTCTCTTGGAGGCCTCTTGGGGCTTCTTGGGCGCTTCTTGGACCCTGTTGGGGTCTCCTGGGGGCCTCCTGGGCCATCGAATCTTCGGTTCCTCGTCCCCGTCTTGGGCGCCGACTCGGGGCGTTGATGACCGGTTTAGGCGTCTCGCGGGCCGTCTTGGCCCCCTCGTGGGCCGTCTTGGAGCCCTCGAGGGGGCACCCTCGACCGTCCTGGGTGCCTCTTGGGCCGTCTTGGACGCAGGTGAAGCCCAAAAGACGAACACGCCAAAAATATCAGCTTTCCCACGAGAAATCGAATTACGATGTTTGCTGATTGGGCCACTCTCGGGGTGCCTCTTGGGAGCCTCCTGGGGGTCTCTTGGGGCCCTCTTGGGGCCTCTGGGGGGCCTCTTGGGGCCTCCAGGGGACCTCTTGGGGCCTCCTGGGAGGCTCTGGGGCCGAAAGCTCGGAATTTGAATATGGTTGTGCACCTCTGGAACCCCTCTGGGGCTCGTCCTGGGGCTCTCTTGGGGGCTGTCTTGGGGGCCTCTCGGGCCGTCTTGGGACCCTCTTGGGGTCGTCTTGGAGCCCTCTTGGGAGCCTGTGGGGCAGTCTTGGGGGCCCCTTGGGCCGTCTTGGACGCAGTGGACGCCCAAAAAGCGAACACGCCAAAAATATCAGCTTCCCTATAGGAAATCGACGAGTTTTGCTTATTGGGCCTCTCTCGGGGTGCCCCTTGGGGCGTCTTTGGGGCCTTCGGGGGCCTTCTTGGCGTCATGGGAGTCGTCTCGAAATGCGTCTCGAGCCATCACTGCGGCCTCCTGGACCCTCCCTGCAGCCTCTTGGGGCCCTGTTGGCCCCGGGTCGCCGAAACCCCTCAAAACAAATGGAAAACGACGCCCAGGCCCCACATGTGTGGTCGTGGAGCAGGCCCCGGCCGACGGACCCAGTCCCTGGTTATGTGTATATGCCGAAAGTGACGATGGTGGGCCCTGGCAGATCACAGCAGACTGGCTGGGCAGGAGGGAGAGGAAAAGGGAGGACGAAGAGACCTCACATGTGGAGCAAGCGCTCGTCCATCGCTCGGCTGGCATGCTTTCCTCGCCAAGCCTGGCCCCTAGCATTGCGGCATCTAGATGTGAAACCGCCATGTCGATGCGAAAACAATCTAAAAAACAAACTAAGAGCTACCTGGGCGGGCACAACTGCAAACAAGGCAGCGGGCATCGCCTCCTCGATTCATAAACTCAATCGTCCGCCACCGTGCCATGAGGCACGAGATGGAGAGTCCCCAGGTCCTTAAGAGTTCTCCGTCCTCAATCCTGAAGTTGATTTAAGGCGCCCACAGCCCGGAGTTCTGGGCGTTATTGGGCGCTCCGGAGTTGTCCCGCATTACTTTTCCGGGGCCAAGAAGAGCCAAGACGGGCTAAAAGCCCCAAGAGAGCCCCGAGACGGTCCAAGAGGCTCCGAGCCTCCAGACAATCCACGAGGCTCCCAAGACGTCCAAGAGGGTTCTAAGAGGCCCCCCGGAGAGGGTCCGAGAGGGCCCCAAGAGGCCAAAATCATTAAATTTCTCCTTAGGACTTTGAAGGAATTCATCTTTCTCGCCGTTTCGGCCTTTGGACGCTGCAAGATCGCCCAAGTCGCCCCAAGAGGGCCCCGAGACGGCCCCCAGACGGCCCAAGAGGGCCCCAAGAAGGCCCAAGACGCCCCCAAGACGGCCCAAAAAGGCTTCAAGAGAGGCCCAAGAGAGGCCCCAGAGGGGGAACACGAACCGACATTTCGAGTCCTGCGCCCCAAGACAACCTCCGAGACCGCCAGCAGGCCCCAAAGGAGCCCCCCAGAGGCTCCAGGAGGTCCTAAGAGGCCAGGCTTGCCAAGAGATCCCCACACGCGTATGTGGCTGTTTGTTTATTTCAGAACTCCCTATGGGGCTTCGGTCAATTGTGCCGCCCACCCGGAACCACACCAATTTGCCCAGATGGTTGCCTTTGTTGCTCCTACTTGGCCTAAGATGAACCTCAAGATACCTCCAGGACAGCAGGATGGCCAAAGCTGACCTCCAGGATGCTTCCACGACGGCCCGAGTGAGCGCCAAGACGGCCAACATGGCTTCCAAGTCGGCCAAGATGGCCAAGATGGGCCCCAGAGGCCTCCAGGAGGCCTCCAAGAGGTCCGCCAGGAGGACCCGAAGAGGCCAAAATCACTGACTTAGGTTTTGAAGGATTCTGGCATTTGCTCATGTTCAGCCTTCCGACGGCCCGAGGCGGCCCAAGAGCCCCCCAGAATGGCCCCAAGTTCCCCCAAGAGGAAGACGGCCCAAGAGGCCTCCAAGACGCCCATGAAGGCCTCCAAGACGGCCCTGGAGCGCCCCCAAAGGGCCCCAAGTCGGTTCGGAATAGCTCCCAAGACAGCATCAGACCAGCCAGGAACGCCGTCAGACGGCCAAAGAGGCCCCGAACAAGCCCCCAAAGGCCCTCTCCTCCTCCTCCTCCTCCTCCGCCTCCTCCTCCTCCTCCTCATCCTCCTCATCCTCCTTCTACTCCCTTTCCGTCTTCTCCTCAGTATCCTCTTCCTCACGAGTTCCACGAAAGGTTTCAACGACGGCTGGGGGAGCACAAGGTCCGATAACTCTAGCCCAACTTTCGGCCACATAGGCGCTTCCAAGAAGGCAGGGGGGCGGCGGTGATTCGCCGTAGGCGTCTTCGATCCGCCGCCCCCTGTGGTCTTGCCACAGGGGGTGCCCAGCGTGCTAGATGTCAATGGTCATTGGTTCTTTTGGAACCCCCCCTGGGGCTTCGGTCCACTGCGCAGGCCACACGAAACGCTTACCCGGATGGCAAGGATGTTTCCGCCCAAGATGGCCTCCAAGACGGCCAAGATGGTCTCCAAGTTCGCCCAAGATGCCCCAAAATAGCCAATAGCCTCCTAGATGACCCAAAAGGGTCCAAAATACGTGAAAGTCCGCCCAAGAAGCCTCCAATTCAGACGGCCCGAGACGTCCCAAGAGGCCCCCAAGAAGCCTCCATGATGTCCTCCAAGATGGCCTTGGAGCGCCCCAAGAGGGCCATGAGAGTGGTCTCCAAGATGGCTTCCGACGGCGTCAGACGGGCCACGAACGCCCTAGGAAGGCCAAAGAAGTCCCCAAGAAGCTGCAGAAGGCCCCCAAAAGGCCCCAGGAACCTTCCAAGAGGCCTCCGAAAGGCACACAAGAAGCTCCCAGAAGGCCCAAAGAGTCCTCCTCCTCCTCCTCCTCCTTCTCCTCCTCCTCCTTCCTCAGACTCCTCCGCCTCCTCTTCTTCATTATTCTTAGTTTGTTCCTAATTATTCGTATTAGTGTTATTACGCGTAGTCTTCTTACACATATTATCATTACGATTCGTATGTCTCGCATTATTGTTAGTGGTAGTGTTATTCGTATTCGTATCTTATCCTGACTAGTAATCGCACTATTCTTACTAGTTATATTGAGAAAACGCCTCCGAATAATAGTCGCGTAGTAATAGTCTTCGTGCTATTGCAACTACCAGTATGAATATTATTAGTCGTAATCTGAGTATTCGTGGTATTTGATGCTCATTAGTTCCCAATTAGTGTAAAAATTGTAGTAGTCCTGTTGTTATGCTTAGTATCATTATGTTTCGTAACGCTTGTCTTACTAGATTTACCATTGATAGTGGTGGCACTCTTATTCTTACAAGTATCATCAAGCTTAATATTCAGATTATTCTGATTCGTGATAATACGAGTACGTTTATTATGGTTGGTTGTAGTATTACTCTTCCTACTGTTGTTTTTGTTAGTAATATTATGTTTCCTCCTCCTCCTCAGACTCCTGAGGCTCCTCAGACTCCTCCTCGTCCAGCCATCTCCCCTCGTTTCCGGCGCGCCGCGGGGA